GTTCTTGCGCGATGTGCGAACTCCCGGGTGTTATGTATGTGTTGGGTGGGAGGGCGGGTGGGAATGAGCAAGAAGGTTTGCGGGCGGGCGGGAAGATTGATCACTGTTCCCTATTAGTAATATACACCCCCTCCCCCACGCGACTGGGAGCCACCCCGAGTCCATGAGGGCACCCCCCCACCATCCCTTTGTAAAAAAGACTACAAAACACACTCAGCCTCTGAATTCGGAGCACGCGCAGCGAACCCGATGCGGCCCCCCCCACCATCCCTGTCAAAAAGCAATGCGGAGTACACTTGGCGGCGGCGGCGGCGGCGGCGGCTGCGGCGGCTGCGGCGGGGGCAGGCTGCGGCGGTTGCGGCGGTGGCGACGGCGGTGGCGGCGGCGGCGGCGGGGGCGGGAGCGGGGGCGGCGGCGGCGGCGGCGGCGGCGGCGGCGGCGGCGGCAGCGGTGGCGGCAGCGGCTGCGGCGGTAGCGGCTGCGGCGGCGATTCGGCAGCGGCGGCGGCGGCGGCGGCCGGCGACGCGGTGGCGGCGGCGGCGGCGGCGGCGGCGCGGCGGCGGCGGCGGCGGGCGGCGGCAGCGGCGGCGGAGGCGGCGGAGGCGGCGGCTGCATATGCTGCGGCTCGGGCCAGGCTCGGGTGCAACGTATGTGTTGGGAGGGCGGGTGGGGTTGAGCGAGACGGCTTGCGGACGGGGAGGGAGTCTTGATCAATCATCGTTCCTTATTAATATACACCCCACAAACGACTGGGCGCCAACCAGGGTCAATGCGGACATCCCCCACCATCCCTTGTTAACAAAAATGATTATCCCGGCAAAGCAACCTAACAGCGATGTGTAGAAACATATCTGAAAGCATTCCCCTTAAGATTCCGATGAAAATCCAGTTGTAGAATTCTGCTGTTCTCGCAGTCGTAGTCGCATTCGCGATGACAGTCGCAGCGGCACGGCACAGCAGCCTCAGCCTCAGCCTGCCTCAGCCTCAGCCTCAGCCTCAGCCTCAGCCTCAGCCTCAGCCTCAGCCTTCAGCCTCAGCCTCAGCCTCAGCCTGCCTCAGCCTCAGCCTCAGCCTGCATCAGCCTCAGCCTCAGCCTCAGCCTGCCTCAGCATCAGCCTGCTTCAGCCTCAGCCTCAGCCTACCTCAGCCTCAGCCTCAGTCTTTCTTCAGCCTCAGCCTCAGTCTGCCTTCAGCCTCGGCCTCAGCCTCAGCCTGCCTCAGCCTCAGCCTGCCTCGGCCGCAGCATCAGCCTGCCTCAGCATTCAAAATGTAGCCCAGGAATGAAGTTCTGGGAAGTAGAAAAACACGAAGTGGCCTACTGCTGGCTCCGGGTATCCAAAATGTGGCCCGGGAATGGAATTCTGGGAACTTGAAGAACACGAAGTGGCCTACAATTGGCTCCGGGCATCCAAAATGTGGCACGGGAATGGAGTTCTGGGAAGTCGAAGAGCACGAAGTGGCCTACAATTGGCTCCGGGCATCCAAAATGTGGCCCGGGAGTGGAGTTCTGGGAAGTTGAAGAGCACGAAGTGGCCTACAGTTGGCTCCGGGCATCCAAAATGTGGCCCGGGAGTGGAGTTCTGGGAGCACCAAGAACGATTTTGCGAGGATGTCCAAAGCGATTTCGGCTTCGGCGGCAGCCGTTCCGGGTCCCGCCCCGACCCCCCTGTGGAGTCATCTGCTGCTCTCTTTTCAAACCACCAGAAACCTATCAGCAAAAACTGTTAGGTAATAAAATATACTAGGCCACTAAATTCGGAGCATGCGCAGCGAACCCGATGCGGCATCCCCCCACCATCCCTGCCAAAAAAACAATGCAGAATACACTTGGCGGCGGCGGCGGCTGCGCCGGGGGCAGCGGCTGCGGCGGCTGCGGCGGTGGCGGCGGCGGCGGCGGCGGTGGCGGCGGCGGCGGCAGCGGTGGCGGCAGCGGCTGCGGCGGCAGCGGCTGCGGCTGCGGCGATTCGGCAAGGAGGGGCGGGCGGCGGCGGCGGGCGACGGCGGACGGCGGCGGCGGGCGGCGGCGGGCGGCGGCGGCGGCGGCGGCGCGCGGCGGCGGCGGCGTTGGCGGTGGCGGCGGCAGCGGTGGCGGCAGCGGCTGCGGCGGCAGCGGCTGCGGCTGCGGCGATTCGGCAAGGAGGGGCGGGCGGCGCGGCGGCGGCGGCGGCGGCGGCGGGCGCGGCGGACGGCGGCGGCGGCGGCGGCGGCGGGGCGGCGGGCGGCGGCGAGGCGGCGGCGGCGGCGGCGGCGGAGGCGGCGGCGGCGGCGGCGCGGCGGCGTTGGCGGCGGCGGCAGCGGTGGCGGCAGCGGCTGCGGCGGCAGCGGCTGCGGCTGCAGCGATTCGGCAAGGGGGCGGCGGCGGCGGCGGCGGCGGCGGCGGGACGGCGGACGGCGGCGGCGGGCGGCGGCGGCGGACGGCGGGCGCGGCGGCGCGGCGGGCGGCGGCGGCGGGCGGCGGCGGCGGCGGAGGCGGCGGCGGCGGCGCGGGGCGTCGGCGGGCCCCCCGGGCGGCGGCGGCGGCGGAGGCGGCGCGGCGGCGGCGGCGGCGGCGGATTCGCCCCCAGTAGCTGCCCATCCAAAGACGACTGCTGAATCTGCTGCGGCTCGGGCCAAGCTCGGGTGCTGCGTATGTGTTGGGAGGGCGGGTGGGAGTGAGCGAGACGGCTTGCGGGCGGGGAGGGAGTCTTGACCCCTCCCCCTACCCCCTCCCCTGGGCCTGGGAGGGGGGGGCGCGAGGCAGTAGAGCGCCCAAGGTGGCTCCAAGAGGGCCTCAGAGAGCCCAAGATTGCCTCCAAGATGGCTCAAGATAGCTGAAGATGGCTCAAGATAGCCTCCCACATACATCGAAGACGCCCCAAGACGGCCCAAAGATGGTTTCAAGTGCCCTCCGAGCCCTCCAAGGAACCCCCCAAGAGGCCCAAATGGCTCCAAAACCTGTGGAGCGTCACTGCTTTTTTGCGTTCTCGCCTTTTTGTTTCTGATGGGCGTCCGAGGCCTCAAGATGGCCCCAAAACGGCCCAAGAACGCCCCAAGAACGCCCCAAGAGGATCCCAAGAGGGCCTCAAGAGCGCCCAAGAGCAACCCAAGAAGGCCCCAAGAGGCAATGTTTGAGCCTCCGAGGGGGGGGACCTGAATTGAGGACCCCCCTCCTTTTGAGCTACGGGAGCAAAGACGGCCCCACGAGACCTCTCAGACCCGCCCAAAGGGCCCGAAGAGACCCCAAGAGGACCCCAAGAGAGGCCCCCGGATGGCTCCAAGCGATTCCCGAGAACCTCTCGCAACAGAGCTTTAATTCGCCTGGCAAACTGCGAAGCGTCAATCATTGTTCTGTTCCCAGCCATCCTGTGGTGTTGGGTCCTCGTTTTGCAGAGACAGCCCCTTCGTCCTTCCTCCTCCTCCCGCTGCCCCCTCCTCCCCCACTCCTCCTCCTCCTCCTCCTCCTCCTCCTCCTCCTCCTCCTCCTTCTCCTCCTCCTCCTCCTCCTCCTCCTCCTCCCCCTCCTCCTCCTCCTCCTCCCATCCCATCCCTGCCTTGTACCCTCCGCATGTCACTAGCTTAACACAACCCTCACACGCTTCGTGTCCCCATGGGGAGCTCCACCGAAGGCCCCAATGGCAGCGCCCACATGAGGTTCCACCCGCAATTTCGATGCACCGCTCACACGGTTCACAACCCCATAGGAAGCTCCACCGAGGGCCCAGGGGCAGTGCCCGCATGCAATACCACCCCCAATTCGGCACACCCCTCACACGCTTCGTGGCCCCACAAGGCGCCCCACTGATGGCTCCAGTAGCAACGCCTGCATGCAGTTCCACCTTAAATTCCGACGCATCCCTCACACCTTCCGTGGTCCCATAGGGAGCTCACGCGTTTCGTGGCCCCATAGGGAGCCCCACCGAAGGCCCCACTGGCAATGCCCGCGTGCAGTTCCACCATCAATTTCAAAGCACCCCTCACACGTTTCGTGGCGACATAGGGAGCTCCACCGAAGGCCCCAGTGGCAACGCCCGCATGCACTTCCACCCCCATTTCGGGGCACCCCTCACACTGTTCGTGGCCCTTAGGGAGATCCAAGATCGCTGTCGGTGTAGTAATGACAAGCATCTGGTGTGTCTGTGTGTGTGTGAACGTGTGCGTGTGCGTTCTGTTGGTGCCAAAGACAACTGCATCGCTCCTCCGTGTTCCCACGCGCATGCTTGGCCGCTGCATGCCGCATGCACTTTCTGCTCGCTCGCTCGCCGCTGCCCGCACTTAATCTGGGATATTACGGCTTAGGCTCGAGCGCAGTCGGCATAAACTCAATTTCCATGTATGCTGACACATCCCGTTAGCCGTTAGCGCACCAAGCGTCCGTTACCCTACATCGACAGGGGAATACTTATGTATACATGCACATCTGTATATATATATATATATATACACGTATGTGTATATGTGCGCCGTTTATGTATGTATGTGTGCGTATGTGCTTGTATGTGTGTTCTAGTGGGTTCCATCTTCACGGTTCCGAGGACCCCGAGATCTTGCGTCTTGGGGCCCTATGTTCCATGCTTCGTGTCCTCTGCGGGTGTTCTGCCCCCACCCACCCCGTTTTCCGCTCTTTGCTGTAAATTCACCGCTGCTCATAACCGAATGGTCCCGCATCGCTTCGGCCCGATTTGGAACAGTGAAGATTTTCCTTAAGGGCGACCTACTTCAGTGCCGCCACGACCTGGGCAGAGCCTCCACCATCCGTCAAGGCTTTCCGCACAAGCGGGCAAAAAACGCCTGACAATTCCCAGGCATTAAGCAAACAAAGACAAACCTGAATTTTTCCAAGTGTCTGGCTTTGCAATTCCGATTTCTGTGCATGGATCCCGGAGGGGAACTCGCCGATGAGCACGGCACGAATTCAGCTGCCTGGCGAATTCCGAATTTGCATACGTCTCCTCCTGCTTGCACTCAGCGAGCGACTACGGGTCAACGAATGCCTCTGGGATGCTCTCCTCCTCCTCCTCCTCCTCCTCCTCCTCCTCCTCTTTCCTCGCTGCACCCCGAGTCACCCTGGGCTCCCGATGATCAAGGTTGCGCCAAGACAGTGCCACCGAGAGGGGCCGGCGGTGGGCTCGGCTCGGCCGGCCCCGCGCATTTTACCGGGGCTGGCGAGAATGCTGCACGGGGCCCGCTTGCGAGGCACCGGCCTGGTAGACGTCAATGCCAGGGAGCCGCTCAGGGAGCCGGTGACGGCCACTGGCCAGCGTAGGCGCCGCCAAGCTGCCGGCGGCGCTGTCGCCAGCGGCGTGAGAGCTTGCTGGCGTCGACCTCGCAGGGGCTGGTACCGTAGGCAGCATGGAGCTGGCGGCGCTGTGACTGGTGGCATGAGAGCTTGTAGACGGTGGCCTCGTGGGCGCTGGAAATGTCGACGAAGACCTCGTAGACTCCGCCCTCGTAGACGATGGTAACGTAGCCGCCGTGGAGCTGGCGGCGCTGTGGCTGACGGGGTGGGAGCTCGCGGATGCCCACCTCGTAGACGCTGGCAGCGCAGATGCCGACCTTGGAGACCCCAAGCTGCGCAGATCCGGGGCGCCAACCTTGGAGACCCCAGCGCGGTCCTCGGCGGCGCCCGGTTGTGCGCCCGCGGGCACGACGCCCTCGATGTCTTCCCACGCGGAGAAGACGACGGCCTTGCCCCGCAGCGAGCGCCGCCTGCGCTCGCGCCAGCGATAGGCGCCGTAGCAGGTGTACAAGAAGAGCGCCGCGCCCGCCAGAGTGCCAATGAGGGCGACGACCAGGAGCGTGGAGGCGCTCTTAGCGTCCTCCAAGGCAAGCCTGGGCGCTGCCGCGGCCGTCGTAGACGTCGTGGACGTGGTCAGCGTGGTGGTGAGAGTGGAAGTCGTCGACGACGACTTCGACGTGGTAGTCGATATGGTGAGCGTGGTCGTCGCCGTGGTGGTCGACGTGGTCGTCGTGGTGGTGGTGGACGTAGAAGTCGTCGACTTCGACGTGGAAGTTGACGTGGACGTTGTCAGCGTCGTGGTCGTCACCGTGTCTGTCGTGGACGTGGACGTGGATGTTGTCTTCGTCGTCGATGTCGCCGTAGACGTGGACGTCGTCGAGGACGTAGACGTGGATGTAGACGTTGTCCTCGTAGTTGATGTGCTTGTGTAGGTAGAGGTGGATGTGACCGTTGACGTGGACGTCGTCATGCTAGTCGAAGTTGAGGAGGATGTGGACGTAGACGTGGATGTCGACGTATACGTGGACGTCATGGTCGTTGTCAGCGTCGAGGACGTGGAGGTGGAAGTGGACGTTGTCCTTGTCGTGCTTGAAGTGCTCGTGTACGTGGACGTGGTCGTGGTAGTGGTGCCGGTATGCGTGGTGGTCGTGGTCGTAGTGGTATACGTGGAAGTGGTGGTGAACGTATGTGTAGACGTCGACGTAGACGTGGACGTCGACGTAGATGTGAACGTCGTTGTCGTCGTCGCCGTCGTCGTCGTCGAGGTTGAGCTCGTCAACGTCGTGGACGTGGTTGTGAGAGTGATCGAGGTCACAGACGTGGTCGTGGTCGTGGTTGATGTGGACAGCGTCGTGGACGTGGTTGTGGTAGTGGTCGTGGTCGCAGATGTGGTCGTGGTCGTGGTGATGCTGTACGTGGACGTGGACGTCGTAGAAGTGGATGTTGTTCCCGTGGTGGTCGAAGAGGTCGAGGTGGTGGACCCCATGCAAATGCTCCTGGCGGCTGGAGACTCATACCCTTCTTCGCCGAATGTGCTGAAGACGACAAAAGGGTTGTCCTGGACCATGTACATGCAGCCAAAGGGCCCGAAGTTGAAGCCGGCAACGTAATACTGATTTTCGTTGCTGCTGTCGAGCCCGAGAGCATCCTCGGCAAACGCGGCGCACAACGCCTCGTCCAGCGTGTCCTGAAGTCCAAGCCGCGCGCAGCTCGTACCCGCTTCCAGCAGAGTCTGGTAGGTCGGCGCCGTCCCAGCGGACGGCGCGCCCAAGAAGGTCAGCGCCAGCCACGCCGTCCGGATGCCGCCACGGGCCATCCTGGCGAGCCTCGGGACGAAGGCGCCGAGACTCCCATGCTCCACCCCTCGGCTTGAGCCATAGGGCTGCGAAGCACAACGTCGGAACGTGGGGGGTTCGACAGGTACAGTCGGACTTGATTGGACAGGACACGCGACAGGACACAAGACCCTTCTGAGGGCCACAGCGCCATAGGAATGCAGGAGGCATGGGTCGCGAGGCACAGGACACAAGGGTACCCTTGATTTGGCAGGGTCGATCAACTAATCAAGGCCGACTGTATGAAACGGAGCACCACCCACAAAGAAATCGGTTCTGGTTGAGGCTCGGCTCGCGCCGTGCGTGGGAGGCGAAGCTGCGTGTGCGGGCGAGGACGTGATCACCCTAGTTGAGCAGGGACCGACCGTCCCAGCATTCCTATAGGCCTACCACGACATGTTCTTCGAACCCCAAAATGTTCTGATGCTCTAAAAACAAAAACAGGGTTCTCAGAACATGAACCCGATGTGTTCAAACAAGGCAGTCCCAGCCAGAACTGTTCTTAGAACACTTCGTGGAGGCCACACAACAAGTTCTTAGAACAGTGTTTGGTAGGCCTACAGGCACACCGGGACGCTTCGCCACTGCTTGACCTAGGTATTGATGATGATGAGGAGGAGGAGGAGGAGCAGGAGGTGGTGGAGGAGGAGGAGGAGGAACAGGAGGAGGAGGTGGAGGAGGAGGATGAGGAGGAGGTGCAAATCCGACAACAATTGTCGGGCGCGGATGGGGCCGGGCGGGCTGTGCTGCGGTTTTCCTGTGACGCGTCGTCCCGTGCGGCTGCCCCGTGCGGCTGTCCTGTCCCGTGCGTCCCGTGCTGCTGCCGTGCGGTCGTCTGCCGGCTGCTCTGCGGTTGGATAGATCGGAGGCTGGGGGGTGACAGCGAAGTGGGCCCAAATTGACGTTGCCCCCATCGTACTTACAGACCGCATCCCAGAAATAATTTCGAGCACCCGGCAAAGTGTCGAAATAATGTCGAAAGAGTGTCGAACGAGTGTGTCCCAGGGCCCGGCACGTGAAAACCCTCGAGTTGTGGGGCACTTTCTTGGTGCTCGAATTTTTTCTGGAGATCAAGGCTAAAGTAGGTTGGAACATCATGAGGCTGGGGGGTGACAGCGAAGTGGGCCCAAATAGGAAGTTGGTTTCACTTCCGCTTCGTGTCGCGCGTGCGGGCGAGGCGAAGCTGCGCGAGGGCGATGACGTGTCGGCCAACGCTAGGGCCAGGTCGTGCAACAGAGTTATGCTCTGGTCCGAAGGTGCCTCGCTGTGGTCGTCCCGCGGTTGTGGTTGTCCAAAAGGTTGTTCTGTGTTTGCCCGTGGGTTGTCCCGCGATTGTCATATGCACTGCCGCGAAAGATTGCCGCGTGGTTGTCCCGTCATTTGTCCTGTGGGAAACGCAGATCCGCATGCAAATCCAGTGGGACTCGGAATGCATTTCGAAATGTTCGTCCAATGCTGATCGGTAGCCGAACCGAAATGAACATCGAAATGCAAGCATCGGAAATTACACCAACGTGACAGTCGAAATACAGAGACATGTTACTAGGACTGTAATTGACGTCCTTTTGAAGTGGGAATCGACATGTGAATTGAAATGCGTTCACAAGTGCGATCGGAATGCAACTCGAAATGTAAATCGCCATGCGAGTCAGAACGCACTCGATGTAACCGAGATCTGTAGACAGAAGCTTAACTCTGTATGCACATAGGCTGACACGTAGAGGTCGACTGCGAGCCCGGAAGTGAACGAGGGCGATCAGCAGGAAATGAGGTCGAGAAATCCGCCGACCCGGCGTGTGAGCTTCACAGATTCCTGGGCTGCAGCCTACAGCCCGAGCTCCAGCTCTGCTGGGGGGTGCCGGGGGGCTCCGCCGGGGCAGGGGGGGGGCGCCTGCTCCGCCTGTGCTCCGCTTTCGGGGTGGGGCTGGGGCGCGAGCGAGCATCAGCTACAGATTCCCACCCCAGGGGCCAGAGAGCCCAAGATGGCCGCCAGAGATCTCCCAGGCGGCTCAAGATGCACCCAGTATGGCCCAGGATGCCCTCCAAGAAAGGCCCGAAGAGGCCCAGATCAGATTTTCCACATGCTTTTGAAGGACTCGAGCGCCTCATTATTTTCAGCCTTCCGACGCCCCCAAAAAGGGTCCCGAGACGGCCCCGTGGGCCCTCAGGACGGCCAAGGTTGCCTCCGAGACGGCCCCGAAGCGCCCCCAGAGTGCTCCCAGACTGCACAGCGAGGCGCCCAAGACGGCTTTCGACGGGCCAGGAACGCCCTGAGACAGCCAAAAAATGTACAAAGAAGCCCCTCAGAGGCTCGAAGATCCCCTCAAGAAGCCTCCTCCTACGACGGCCCCGAGAAGGCCCAAAGACGGCCCCGTAGGCCTCCAAGCGAACCCGAGCACCATCGGGAGCGCCCCGGATCGGCGGCACTGGCCGGAGGCCACTACAATTGATCCGCCTCCCGCTTCCTGGCACGTCGAGGCGTGGTAGAATGCCAAGTTTCTGAGAACTCCCTCCTCTATACTCACAGTCCGCCGCATGCACCGCCCCTCCCTCCCGAGGCTCTCTCGGCGCCCCGACACCTCGCTGGTGCTCTGCAAGGCGTCCAGCCATCGAGGCCCAACATGTTTCCAAGATGGCCAGATATGCCCGAAATGCCGACTTAAGATCAAAGGGTGCACGGAGAGGCAAAAACCAACCTGCATCCCTACTCAACTACTTTCAACACCTGGGAAAAATGGAACACCCCCCATCCCCCCCTCAGAACTTGACCCCCCCGGAGCCTTGGTCCCGGGGGCCCCCGAGAGACCCCTGCAGATGGTCCTTGCGGCCGTCTGGGCCTCCTGTACGCTCCTGTGTGGCCTAGCCACGGGGACCAGAGCGGCCAGTAGGGCGGCCAGATGCCCCGCGAGGAGCCCCAAGCGGCCCCACCCGACGACGGCCCAAAGAAGACCCCAATATGCCATGCACACGCAAGAACATCAATTGTCTCACAATTTTCCGTGATTTGGAGGCACTCGGTTTTTCAGTGTCCCGGTCTTCCTATACTGCCCAAGAGGCCCCGAAACTCGCCACCCACAACGCTGGCCCAAAAACAATCCAGAAAGTTCAAGGACGCCCCAAGACGGCCCACTAGGGCCCCAAGACGGCATGGAGAGAGCCTCATGACGACCCAAGATGGTCCGACGACGCCCCCCGAACCAATCCAAATCGTGACCCAGTCGTTGAGGGAAGCTGTGGTTGGCACCAATGTTGCCCCCCAAAGCCACCAGAGGCCCCCAAAACGAGCCCCGGAGTTCCAAAGAGGCCCCGAGACACTCGCGCTCGGCCCCCAACAGAACCTCAAGAACGAGCCTCCACAAAACGAACAAACTGATACGGAATACAGGGAAGGGCTCGCAGGAGAGGGCGATACCTATAAGACGAATGATACACATGAAAAGAATCAGAAGACAGATAATGAGGATTCGAAAACGGTAACACCAAGGTCGCTTGGAATTTGTCTGATTCGACGTTCGAGATTGGGCCCCTGTACTGGTTGCGTGGCCTCCTTGGGCGGCGCTCTCACGGCTGCCGCCACAAGATTAAGCTCGTATTCCTCGGCTTACGGTCGGATGGCCTTCTTCCCCCCTTTCTATCAGCAGATGCGGCATCACGGTTCTGAGCCCTCCAGACACTTGCCACACCGTGTCACTTGCCACATCTCGAGGAGTGCACTCAACGGCAGAACAAATGTCCAGGCTTCCTGGCTTTGTCTCCCCGTTCAGTTCTGGATCCTTCGATGTCCTTCTCACGCTCATTCAGTTCGGAAAGCAGAGCGCGAATGTGCCTTCGGAATCATCCTCTTTCCCCAGGCCCCTCCCCGAAGCGTCTCGTCGCGCTTGCGGGTTGTCCTCCCGCCTTCCTGCTCCTGGTCCTGCCGCCACCACCCGCCTCCACTCCAGAGGGTCCCTGGCCCACCCGTCCTCGCGCGCCCCAGCACCTCTCCCTCAGGACCTGTCTCTGTGGAGCAGGGACCGACGGTCCCGGCATTCTAATAGGCCTACCACGAGATTTTCCTAGAACCCCAGAAAGTGTACGAAGAACAATAACAATTTCATTATAACATAAACCCGATGTGATCAAACAACACATTATCGGCCAGAAATGTTCTAAGAACATTTCGTGCAGACCACGAGAGGTTATTAGAACATTATTTGGTCGGCCTATAGGCGAACCAGGACGCTTCGCCACTGCTCGAGTCTCTGGCGCACCCTCCCAGGCACCACCTCGACCATGTGCTCGCCCCGCGCCCTGCCGAGGAGGCGACGTGGCCTCCCGAGGACGTGCACGTCCTCATCGGTGCCCTCGCGGCCTGGACGCCGACGCGCGACTCCGCGGATGCGCGCTCCCACGGATACGCTCCGCGTGCCAAACCGCCCCGCACACACTGGGCCTCAACTGATGACCCAGGTAGGGGGCCACATGCGAACCCTGCCCCTACCCCCTACGATTTCTGAGGGGAAGGGTGGTGTTCACTTCGTTCGGGAGCTCCCGAGCGAAGTGAAGCCCACCCTCCCCCTCAGAAATCGTAGGGGGTAGGGGTAGGGTTCGCATGCGGCCCTATACCTGGGGCGCGCGGCGCGAGGGCGTGGATGTAGACGCGTGGCGGGTTCCGGAAACCCTGCATCCAACACGATTGTCACCTCCTGGGGGACAGATCTTCGCCTCCGCCGGCGGAGGCGGCCTCGTTCTGCTTCCGCCGGCCCCGCGCCGAGAAGCAGCTGCCAGCGCCTCCAGTCCTTGAAGGCGAGGCCCGTTCTGGCACGCCGCACGCATGCCGCCCACGGTCGGCCGCCCTCGAGGGGGGGCCCGCCTTCATCCGCGTCAGGGCGGAGCAGCACTTGCGGACCGCCGCATCCGAGTCACCGGCCCTGGGCAGCGGCGGGAGCGCCCAGGACCGGGCGCCGGGACAGTCCAGGATGGAGGGTGAGGGGAGGAGGGCAAGGAGCGAGGAGGGTGGGGGCAAAGGGGCCTCCAGCATGCGAAGCATCAGCCATGAGGGAGAAGGAAGAGGAGGAGGGTGTGGGGATGGGGAATCCCACCAGCCCTTTAGAGCGTGGGTGGTCTAGGGAGTTCGCCCTTCCAACCCCTCTTCCCCTTCCCTTCAAGGAGGGTTTCATCACTGCCCCTTATTCGCAAGCATCCTCTCCCCTGATTCGACTGGTCCGAACAATGGTCAATGCTGATCTCCCCATCATCCCTGTCGAACATACATGTGAAGTACAATTTGCGGCAAGTCCTGGGTCAGGCTTGGGCGCGGGTGCCAGCATATTGCCCCGCGTTTGCAGGCCCACGCAATCCCTTGGAAGTTGCAGACGAAATCTTGGACCATGCGCGGGCGCCCCGCGATCAGTTTGCGTTGTTTCTTGACAGGGATGATGTGGGTGTCGGCACATTGTGGTGTGCGTGGGCGCACCATCGCTGCAATAAGCCAATGTGAAGCGTTGGCAGACGCACGCGCCATACACCATGCTGACCATCCCGCCACCAATTTATGTTTGTTTCTGGCAAAGATGGTGGAAGGTCGACGTGCTTCACAACCCGGTGCGAGAGGCGCACCTGGCACGCGCGGCGCACCCCTCGAGCGTCACGCACCTGGCGTCTGTTTCGGTTCCCGTTGGCTGCCCATCCAGCGACGTCTCCTGGGAATGCGGAGACTCGGGTGCTACGTGTGTAGTAGGAGGGTGGGTGGGAGTAAGCGAATGGCCGTCTTTCGGGGGGTAGCTCGACACCTCCCCCTATCCCCTTCCCCTGGGGCTGGATCCCTCCCCCCCCACGATGTGTCAGAGGGTACTTTTTGGCCCAAGATGTCCTCAGAAAACCCAGGATGCACTCTAAGATAACACAAGATGGCCCAAGCCAGCAAGAAGTCCCATTACCTCCCTGAGGCTGCTCCAAATTTCCACGGAGCCTCCCAAGGACGCCCTCGAGAGGCCAACACCTCTTGACAACTTCGGGAGGTCTGCCGTGCCGCCTTTTCGATTCCGACGGGGTTGTGAGCCCCCAGGATGTCTCCGAGCTGCCCCAAAGGCGCTCAGAAACGCCCCCAAATGGCCCCCACAGGCGACGTGGGCGCCCAAGGCCTCCAAAAGGGCTCCAAGACAGCCCCGGGAGGGCCCCAAAAGCACACACAGCGTCGGAACATCCGACAGAGAGTGTGTGGTTGGCTCCTTGGTCTGCTTCGGTTGATCCCGAGCCTCGGCTCGACGGCTGCCCCCTCGTTGTTCGACGGGTCGCCCTGCCCTTCCGCAGACAAAAGGCAACTCGCCTGCGCATCGCTTCCTGATGGGTCGGCGGGGGGCGCGCGAAACGTCAAACAATGTTGTGGGCGTGGCCTCGTTCCACGCCCCAACTCCAGGAACAACAAGTGCAGAGGTGCCCGCGGGGGGTCCGAGACGGGGCGGGGGGAGGGGGGATTGAGGGCACGGGGGCGGGGAGGGGAAGGCACGGGCCGAAAGAGGGGAGGGGAGGGCGGGGAGGGGAGGGGAGGGCGGGGAGGGGAAGGGGGAGGGGAGGGCGGGGAGGGGAGGACTGGAAAGAAGAGTCTGTGGTGGCATCGAAAAAAAGGAGGCGTGAAACCGACGTCCGCCGCAGAGCCTGTTAATTATTTCCTTGGGGCGCTAGAGACCGCAGACCCGCCATGGCTCCCGCAATATGCGGGTTCGGAAAAAATCGCATTCGACCATTCGGTCTTGGGTGGTTTTCGGCGGCCGTCACGATCTGCGGCGCAAGAGCTGGATGGCGGTGTGCCGGGCCCCTGATCGAACACCTCGACAAACCGTAATGGCGCGGGGGCCACTGAGAGAGGGAACAACGACTGCAGGAACCTCAGCAGCCCAAACGCCCGGTGGCCCGAATTTGTCAATTCGGAGCGCGCCCTCCATTTTATAACCCCTGATCGGGGATTGCTTTTCACCCTGAAGTTTTTTTGTTGATGGTCCCGCGCCTCCTTGAAGACATGGGAAAACGTAATGTCAGCTTGTGATTAACAAATCCGTATGGGGGCGCGCGTTTAAACAAAAAGTTCCGCTGTACGGGCGAATCGCGGGGTGGCGCCCGCCAAATTGAAAATCAACGGGGCGGCGCCGGTGATTAGCGCCGACGCCCAACCGCCAACGAGGGGCAATGGGGGGGTTGTTCGGAAGCAAGGGCGAGCCACGGCGCCCATCCTTCTGTCGAACCGATGCGGGCCTGCGGGCAATGTGGGCTGGACGAAAGCTGGCGCAGCAAAGGGGGGAGTTGCAGAACAGCTCGCGTCGCTGATTTTCCAAGCGCCTCCTGGCGCCGAAAGCGGCCATGCGTCGAGGACTGGTCCTTCGGCGGGGCGACCGCAACCAGCTGCGCGCAGCAGGCTTTGGAACCCCCCCTTTCCTTCCCCAGCCTTTCGTCCGATCCGAGCAAGGCGGGTGGTCCTCCTCCCCCCCTCTGTCACCGTCGTCGCCGCCGTCCCCCGCCCTGCCTGCGCTCGTTTCCAGAGGCCGCTCTCTTCGTCGACGACGACGACGACGAGGACGACGACGACGGGACGAGAACGAGGACAACGGACGGCGGGCGGCAGACTGACGGCGACGGCGGCGGCGACGACGACGACGCACTGCGGATGCCCTATGGGTGAAGGGGGGGGTGCTGCGCAGGCCCGCTGTAGTCGACGATGACCACGACGACGAAGACGACCAAGACCACCAAGACGACGACGACCAAGACGACGACGACGAAGACGACGACGACGACCACGACGACGACGACGACGACGACGACGACAAGGACAACGAAGAAGACGACGACGACGAAGAAGACGACGACGACGACGCCTGAGAGGGGGAACGAAAATTCGCCTCGGATGTGTACGACCCGCACAATAACCTCTATACAAAAGGCAACCGTTTTGAGGCTGTCATGCAGGGGGGGGTACACGATCCCACGATCCCCTCGGCGGCGCCAACGACGACACCCTGGCGCGCGTGATACAAACAGAACGGTTTCGCGCCCCGCGGGGTCTATTCATCAGCCCCCGGGGGAGGGGGAGTACCCTTTTGCTAACCACACGCTGACACTACACCGTGGAAGCGTGCCTCCTCTTCCGTTCCCCCCCCCCGTGGCCGTTTCTCCTCTAGGAAGGGGCCCTGGGACACACAACTACATACACACAAATAAAAACATCCCCACATTTTCGAATATTTTGGGGGTCTTCGTCTTCCCCCCCCACTTCCCATATGTTCCCATATTTTCTCGGGAATCGACGGTGAATTGTGTCTGTGCGTTTCTTTCCCTCCTGACACTCTTGAGCCACGCGTGGAAGCGCGACTCGCCTCCGCGCAGACTGGCGCAGCTTCGACCGCGGCGAGCACCCTGCCTATAGGGGCCAAACAGTGCGTGACAGCCCCTCCTCGGCCCGAAGCCGGCCACTGGTGGCCCAAGAGGCCGAAACATGAACCAGACACCCTCTACTCCAGATTTCGTAATAAAAGGGAGGGGGTCTGGACCCTCCAAGACAAGCCATTTCAGACCCCCCCTCGTGGGAGAACCCTCCAAAACGTCGTCCGCAGACCACCCCAGGCCCTCCAAGATAGCCTGGAAGAGACCCCCCCGAAATGAGACCCCCCTCCCTTTATTACGAAATCTGGAGTACTCATCTCGAGCCGCTGGGTGCTCGGACCCAACCGCACAGGAGGTAAACAGCAACCAAACATCTCGACTCGTATCTCAGCCGCTCTGGGAGGAAGAGAACGAAGACCATGACCAAGACTGGACGCGTAAGTGCCAGTGTCGATCTTGGTACTCATCCGTCTTGGTCATGGCCAATCCGTGGAACACCCTCGCGGGTCGACGACGGCCAACATGGACCATGGCCAAAATCGGCGTCTACACGATCCCTCGCCATGTCTGTCACTAGAAAAAGAGAAAACGCTATAAACATAAACTTGTGGCGCCCCGCGCGGACTTCTTGGATTCGCGCTGGAATCCCCCTCCATGGCGCGCGGAGCGCGCAAGGGGCGGCGCCGGAGGCGCCGCCGGGGGGGCCCGGCGCGGATCCAAGCAATCCGCGCGGACCGCCAAAAGTTTATATGGCGTTTTTTCTTCTTCGAGTCACGGTCATCTTGCCCGAAGCGGCGAGCGAGAAACGAAGTTAATGTCGCGTGGGTTATTATTGGTCTCCATTCCTGGCCAACAAGGAAAATCCGGACGAAACTCGTCTCCTCGAAATCTGGAACGAGATTCTCCAGGACACCCCGCGCCCACCCTAATTATCGTTTTCCGAACGAAATCAGCGGAGCGCCAAAAGTTTATGTTTATGGCGTTGTTTCTTCCTCGAGTCACGGTCATCGTGTTTTTTTGAATATCGTTTAACCGATCCTCACCCCCAGCGGCGTGGCCTGGGCCCCATTGGCCGATTTACCCTCTGGATGGGGATACAGGCCGTTCCCTTCGGGCTTCGAGGGGTGTCTCCCCAACTGCGGGGGTACTGTGCTGGGGGGCTCGAAGGGGATGGGGATGGGGATGGGGATCGGTTAAAAGATACCGACACATGCAATCGGCCAGCGGCCTGATGCCCGAGAGAAGAACCGTGGGCGAACGTGCGCTGCCACGCCGGCCTCAACAAAATCGACCCGAGGGGCCTCGAGCAAAGGAGGCACTGGCCGTGAGAGCTCGGGCGCGCGGCAACCGAACTAGGACGAGAGCGACGCCATGGCGCGATTCGCTCAAGACACATCCCAGAAATGCTGGAGAATCTAGCGGATGGGGATGGGGATGGGGATGGGTCAAACGATGCCGATCTTTTCCCTCGGCCGGGGTGCCCGCCTGCCGGGCACGACCCACAGCAGCTCCGAGAGGGCCCGGATCGCCACGGCCTCGTGGTCGGCCACGGGCCCCTCGGGGCGGAGGCGCCCGCGGCGCGGCGGCGGGGGCAACCCGACACTCGGGGGGAGCGAGATGGGGGGGGGGGATGGCAGAGGGCAGGGTGTACAGAATCAGCTCGCGCAGCTGATTTTCCCAGCGCCTCCCGGGGACGGGCCTCGAGGAATGGGCCCGGCGGCGGGGCCGAAACCAGCTGCATGCAGCAGATTTCGTCCCCCCCCCTTTCCCTATCCCCCCCCTTCGTTCGGCCCGAGATGCGGTCATTGTGCAACTGCAGCGCGACCCGATCATAAAGATGCGTGGCAAGGATGCCAGGCCCATGGGCGCCCAAATAGAAGCCGAAGCTGGAGGCCCGTGACCCATGGCTGGGGGTGGGATGGGCCGGGGCCGGGGGGCAAAGAGGCAAGGGCGCCCTCGGATACTACATCTGGTAATTATACACATTGCCATGGCCCTGTTTGCCTGTAGTACCATGAAAGATGAAGAACGGCACGCGAGGACCGATACGGGATGTTCTGACCATGGCGAACCTCGGCCACGAGAAGGTTTCCTTATCTGGATTTGAAGGGAGCCCTGAACACAAAGTGGTCCTTGTTTCAGCATCTTGGCTGTGGCTGGTTTCCCTCCCCCCTCCGCCCCCTCGCCACTCCCTCCTCCCCCTTTCTTTTTGCCCACTGGGTTTGAGTTCAGTGGTGCCAGCCAGGTCGCCGCAGATTGTGCGCCTAAGCCGACGGCGCTTCTCCAGGTCCACGGGCTCAGCCAACATGCCGCAGCGGGCTGCTCGCTGCCGCCGTCGTCCGCGGCCAGGCGCCAGGCCGAGCGCATCGAGGGCGCCTTCTCCTGCTCGCCCTGGAACCTGTCGCGGGGGGTACTCGGCCGTGCACGAGTGTCTGAAGGGGCCCTGGGACACACAAATAAATACACACAAATAAAAAGATCCCCCATCTGTTCCCATGTTTTCTGGGTTTTTGTCTTCCCCCCCTCTTCCCATATTTTCCAATTTTTTCCTGGGAGTGGACGATTACTTGTGTCTGTGTGTTTTTTCTCCTCCTGAGTGTCTCCATGATGGCCGGAGGGGTACGCGCGCATGTCGCAAAAGTGCACCACAAGGGAAGCCTCGCTATCATTGTCCACGAAGGCCACCGTGATATGAGTGATCCTGAGCATGCTCCGAGCTCAGCCACTCGAAAACGAACGCCGCTGCAAAATCTGGACGATCTGATTGACTTGGCTTCTTGCACGCTGCGCCGCGCCGTTTCAACGGAAGGTGCAGGAAATCTTCGGGCCCTCTTCCGTCTCGGCGGGAGGGGCCATCTGCTGGTCACTGCCATGCTCTGCCCTTTGAGCCTTTGAGCGGACTCGATGATGCAGCGTTGGGCTCAGTCTGCCCTGGACGCCGACTTCCACTGCGGCATGCGGCATGGCGTCGTCGCTGGGCTGACTTCGCGTCCACTGCGGCCCCGACCCCGCTCGCCGCCGCCTGCTGCGAAAGGGGGCCCGCCGGCTCCTGCCCCACACGCGCTGGGGCTGCCGCCGGGCGGCGGCGAGCGGCGGGCACCTGAGGCTCCGCTGGGCCTCCAGGCTCTCTTCGGAGAGCTCCCTCCCGAGGCTGCGAGGGAGGAGGCCCGCGGCCTCCGCCCCCCCTGGGGGACCCACGCCCGCGGGCGGACCCAGGGAGCGGAGGGTCTCGGCCCGCGGCCCTCTGCCCACCAGGAGGCGCGACGGCAGCCCAGACCTGTCGCACAGAGGGAGCGCGGCGGGCTGCCCGCCGCGAAATCGCAGCCGCGCGCGCGGCCTTTGGCACGCGCGCTGGTGCCTGCGCCGGGCTGGAACCCAGAAAACTCCTGAGCGCAGAGCAGAGACGTCGGCAACCGCACGAACACTGGGCAGCGAAATATGTTGCTCTAGTGTGCCGCTGCATGAGTATCGTGACTTCTGCGCTGGTCTGAGCATGAGCGCTGAAGCAACTACTTTTGTGTGCCCACGCGTGGATGATGGAATACTCAAGGGTGCACGACACATGTGAGCATGCGACGCAACATGATGAAGATAACAAAGCGCAAGCAGGCGCACACGGCTCCTTCAAGCGCAAACATAACCCTACGAAGTATTTCAGACCCCCCCGATATCTTAGCGCCGCATAATCACATACATTCACGTGGGTGATTTTAGCTGAAAGATCTTTTCAACACCTCGCAAACAGCAACAACGACAACAAACATCCGCCCCACCCCAGGCTCGTCTTCAATATCTGGTTTGCGCCTTGGCGCCGCGCACACCCACTGAGAAAAAATTGCCAGGGAGTTTCACGGGTTGAGGGCGGAATGGTTTCAAAACCTAGCTCTCGCCTCAGCGCCGCGCGCACTCGCTGTCTTAATTGTGCACGAGCTTCACGGAGTGAAAGCGGCCGTTTTTGAAAATCTAGCTCTCGCCTTAGCGCCGCGCGCATTCGCTCTAAACATTTGCACGAGCTTCGCGGATTGAGGGCGGCTCGGTTTCAAAATCTAGCTCTCGCCCCAGCGCGCGCAGATTCGCTATAACAACTTGCACGAGTTTCGCGGATTGAGGGCGGCTCGGATTCAAAATCTAGCCCTCGCTTCAGCTCCGCGCACATGCGTTATCAAACTGTGCACGAGCTTCGCGAATTGAGGGCGGCTCGGTTTCAAAACTTAGCTTTTGTTTCAGCGCCGCGCACAAAGGTTTTTTCTTTCAAATGTGCACGAGCTTCATGGATTCAGGGCGGCCGGGTTTCAAAATCTAGCTCTCGCCTCAGCGCCGCGCACATTAATTTTCAAATATGTGCACGAGTTTCACGGATTGAAGGCGGACGTTTTTGTTTGTATCTAGCTCTCGCCTCAGCGCCGCGAGCTTTTTTCTGTGTTTTCTGAATGCTTGCTGTTTTAAAAAGATAAAAAGTATGACTCTCGTGTTAGCGCCGCGCACATCTGCTATAAAGTTTGCACGAGTTGTACGGATTGAGGGCGGCTCGGTTTCAAAATATGGCTCTCGTTTTAGCGCCGCGCACATTTTAAACAAACATGTGCAGGAGTCCTGGCAATCTAAACACTGAAGCTCTAAGCGCTAGCTCGCTCAGGAAGTTCTGAACACCGACAGCCGTTCTGCACGCCCGCCCCATCACAAGTATCGCTCCAGCCCCGCACGGAACGATATCTTCAGCACCGCGGAACCGCGAAAACAAATATTCCCGCCCGCGAGAAATCGTCAGACGCGGAAGCAATAATAAATTTCCGCCGTCCTACGAAACGATGTAATGATTTATCAATCAATATATGATATGGATTATGAATAACGCAAAGATGCAACCGTAATAATACAGTACCGGTGGCTTATCTCTGGTATTAGAAGCAATACCCTGAGTACAGTCAGTAATAGCAGTAGTATTGTATTAAGTAGCGCTACGCTGTAACTCTTCGAGAATAGCTTGAATCCGAAGCTTCCTTTCTCCATCTCCGAACCGCCCCCGCCCTATGTGATTCTCATTGTCACCCTTGATGAAAAATTGATGCTTAGGGGCGGTCCATCCCAAGGTATCGCGCCCGCCCCGCACGGAACGATATCTTGAGCACCGATGAACCGCGAAAGTAAATATCCCAGCCCACGAGACACCGTAGGAACGTGGAAAATAATCAGTTCCAACCATCCGACGAAGCGATGCGACAATTTCTGAATAGCAGCAAAAATAATTGCGTTACCGAGGAACCCCACATTCTTACATTATGGCTGGAGTAATGATAGCTGAAGTGAAGCATGTAAGAATGATGTTGGTGGCCGTTCCCTGCGCACCCCCTATGGTGTCGAGAAAGTGCCACGCCTGCCACGCCCTGGACGACTGGCTCGGATAGCGGCCGCGCTCAGAGACCGCCACTTGCGGACCCCCTAAAATTATGAGAATATGCCACGCCTGCTACGCCATGGACGACCGGCTCGGATAGCGGCCGCGCTCAGAAACCACGACCAGCAACCCCCCTATGGCATCGAGAACATGCCACGCGTGCCATGCCCTGGACGACCAGCTCGGATAGCGGCCGCGCTCAGAGACCACGCCCTGCGCCCCCCCTCTGGTGTCGAGAAAATGCCACGCCTGCTATGCCCTGGATGACCAGCTCGGATAGCGGCCGCGCTCAGAGACGGATAGCGGCCGCGCTCAGAGACCACCCCCTGCGCACCCCCTGTGGTGTCCAGAAAGTGCCACGCCTGCTAGGTTTTGCGACAGTGTCGTGGGTAGCGGCAGCGCTGAAAGAGCCCCCCTGCGCACCCCCTGTGGTGTCGTGAAGCTGCCTCGCCTGCTTGGCTTTGCGACAGTGTCGTGGATAGCGGCCGCGCTCAGAGACCCCCCTGTGCGCACACCCTATGGTGTCGTGAAAGTGCCACGCCTGCTAGGTTTTGCGACAGTGCCGTGGACAGCGGTTGCGCCTCAGAGACCACCCACTGCGCACCCCTGCGATGTCCCGAAAGTGCAACGTTCGCGTTCGCTGGGCGTTGCGGCAGTGTCGTGGATAGCGGCCGCGCTCAGAGACCCCCCCCTGCGCACCACATATGGTGTCGTGAAACTGCCACGCCTGCTAGGTTTTGGGACAGTGCCGTGGACAGCGGCTGCGCCTCAGAGACCACCCACTGTGCACCCCCTGTGATGCCCAGAAAATGCCACGTTTGCTGGGCGTTGCGGCAGTGTCGTGGATAGCGGCCGCGCTCAGAGACCACCCTCTGCGCACCCCCTATGGTTTCCAGAAAGTGCCACGCCTGCTAGGTTTTGAAACAGTGTCGTGGATAGCGGCCGCGCTCAGAGACCACGCCTGCTAGGCTTTGCGACAGTGTCGTGGACAGCGGCCGCGCTCAGAGACCACCCCCTGCGCACCCCCTGTGGTGTCCAGAAAGTGCCACGCCTGCTAGGTTTTGCGACAGTGTCGTGGGTGGCGGCAGCGCTGAAAGAACCCCCCTGCGCACCCCCTGTCGTGTCGTGAAGCTGCCACGCCTGCTTGGCTTTGCGACAGTG